GACGCACAACTATTTAATAAGCGAACGAAGCCTCCTTTGTGTGAATACTGTAACGATAAACTATCTCACACATATTTAAGTGTGAAAAAACTAAAGACAGAAGAACCATGTATTCTGTAGATAGCAAGACAGGCGAAAATTTCAAAACTCGTAATAATTTAAATCAATTAATAGTTTTTCTTAAAAAATTGGGCCATTACCACAAAATCTAGCATCAAGTCAAAAGTGAGGCTTAGTAGCAAGAATATATAATAAAAAAAAAAAAATTATCAAATAAAATTTTTTCTGAATCGAAACATGGCGCGCAATAGCACCATTGGGGAGCTGAAGTGCCGTTAAGTAGGAAAACAACGACAACATTTTAATTAACTTATAGAGTTTTTTTATTAAGTTCTAGGTAATTCAGCAACTAAACATCTGGCAGATACAGTATGGCGCCATTTATCATACAAATGTGTATTACTTACACCTTGTGAAGTAGAATGGAGTGAAAGCTGAATATCATTGACTCGAACAACCCAGACATACTAATTTTAAAAATAAAGAGAGTTTTGTTTTCATTATTTACAATTTCAATGGAATTTTTATTTGCTGTAAATTATTAAATTTCATCATTTGCTTTTATGGTCTTTGTCCGGTTTATACAACTCATGATTTCCTTCCATCTCATTCCGCTTTCACGGTATATAAGAGAGAACGGCATACGAATTATTTCAATCGTAACTTCTAGTGTGTCATAATTAAACGTTAATTTAAATTGTTTTTGAAAAATTTATTTGTTAGCGACTATGTCGAATTCTTTGGAAACAGTGTTAGCATTGTTTGAGAAACAACTGCAGTGCTACAAAGAGCGGGTCTGGGAGGGCGTCCTCAACTTTAAACCATGTTGGTTCGAGAAAATTACAAAAGAAAAAATTGGTGAAAGCAGAGATGTTACTGACGATCAACTCGGAGTCGTTTTGTGTTTGTTTCATTCCAAATTGGAAAGAATCACGGAAGAAGAAGAATCGTTGTTGATTCGACATTTTATTTCTGTAGAAAAGTTCTATGAGCTGTTCATAAAAATTCATGACTTCTTTTACGACCAGTACTCGAGAAAAGATTTAGTGAAGGAAAACCTAAACTTCTTTGTAGGAATTGATAAGGAAACTCAGCATGGAAGGATAATTCACAAGGACACCTACCTCGAGGCGCTGGCAAACAATCGACACTACAGACTGCCTTACCTGAAGAACAAGTTCTCCGACGACAAATGCACAATCTGTCGCGAACAGTTTGAAGAACATTCATTTGTTCACAGAACGAAATGCAGTCATGCATTCCACACTGATTGCATTGAAAAATGGCTGAAAGTTCAAACAACGTGCCCAAATTGCTACCAAATTCTTGTGGTGTCTGCCAATTTGAAAACTGAAGGATACTGGGTGGTACAAGATTCCTCTGTAGAAATGTGGATATCCATCGACACTGAGCCTCGATATTTGATGCGTTCGAATGAATGACTACATCTTTAACTGCTTTTTTTCGTTTTTTTTTTCACGTTCTACTGTAAATAAATTTCTTACACAAAAATAATCGTTGTTCGTCTTTTAATTTTCAATAATTCAGTAACGTAGGACCAAATAAATTTTAAAAATATAACGCGTACGTTCTGTATCGTAGATTTATTTTTCAAATGGCACTTGCTTTTTAAAAATTATTATTAGCTCAAAACACAATGAAGTGGAATCATTTGGAAAGAAGGTTGAGAAGATTTGGTTTTAAGAAGAAAGTATTTCTTTATTTTATCTGTAAACTTTCTGAAATAACTTACAAGTACTTTTTGATATCATTATTATACTTTTTGATATCAATATCAACTGTATTTTGAGTAAAATTTTATTCAAACTTCAGCATATTTTTTAACACATTTCAATCGTTTTTCAAAAAAATAAATAATAAAATATTTGCCGAAACTTTCCAATTGAAACTCAAATAGTTGTCTAAATTGTTCGTCAAAATTTGTAACTAACAACTTAAGTTAAGGGCGGCCAAACATCATCAACCTAAAAGATAATATTAGTTAAGAGTCATATTGAGTGAACTTTCTTCAAGTGCTACGAGATGTTTACTATGATGTAATTATAGAGAAAACATAATTAAATTGGTGTTGGTTATTATACAACATATAATGTAAGTTAGTCACCACCAAAAATCTCACATAAACCATGTCAACATTTATAATGGGTGTTGTATGTACGACAATTTTATTTTCTGTATTGAATAAATGTTCGACCACTTTTTAAACTTGTAGCACTAAGTAGTAGTAGTTGGTGGTGGTATTATTATTACCACTTCCAATGTTACTGCTTCTACTTCTATTACTACTACAACTAATAATAATAATAATAATAACAACACAAATTTAAATGATTTTTGAAAAGCTCTGCTGCTTTCAGAGTTCCATGAAAAAGAACTTATAAAATTATTCTCTAAATTATTTCATTTTCAAGTTAACTAACTTCAATTCCTTCAGCATCAACTCTCTTGTTGACAACATCTTCCAGGTTAATCCGTATGTCTTCACTGATTGCATAATTTCGTTGGAAGTTATCAAATATCTCATTGAGTCTTTGGGCTAAGAAACAAAATTAGTGATAAGTTTATTTATATAATTTAAAAATTTATTCAATAAAGATTTTTTCAATGTTAAAATTTAATTTAATTTTTAATTTATTAAAAATTAATTAAAAAGATTATTAATTAAAATTAATATTAAAAATTAATAAATGAAGTTTACTTTGTTCTGTTAGGTATTCATCTGCTTCTAACGCGATGCTACTCATTATATTAAAAATAATTAAATTAAATTATAAAATATTTAATTGGTTAGTGAAAATTTATGTTAGGTCCTCTTAATTTAAAGTTTTAAACTTTATTTTATAGTAGATTATGTTATCAGTTATAAGTTCATTTTTAAATCTGTAACCGAGGACTCAGTGCTGCTTAGAAACAATTATCTAGCAGATAACATGATCAAAATTTTGAATTAAAATATTAATTTTAAATGTATTCAATAAAATTTATAAATAATTAAAATTAAATATTAATTGTTTACGCGTTAATTGGTTTTTATTTCAATAAGTTCTCCATACAAATGATGAAAAATTGTTAATTTTAAGATTACTTTTAATTCTTACAAAGTACTTAAAGTGCACTTTTAGTTACCTTAAAAAAGTTGGTTCATTTTTTCTGAGAACGAGGTGAACATTTTTTAGAACGTTTTCGGTATTTTGTTTTATTTCATAATTATTTAAATATTTTATTTCGTTAAATAGATATTTTTGCAATTTATTATTTGAAATATGTCAAAAAATATCTAAAAATGTGATTTTATCTGTTATTTATGCTCTCCTGATCTTATGATCTCATGCCATGCTTTTTTTTAATAATTTTATAAATTTGATAGAAATGATAATTTTAATTAAATATTTGAATGAAATTAGTTAGATTACATAATAATTTGCAGTCGTTATTCAAAGTATATTTACTTATTATTGATACAAAAATGTGTATGTACATGCTTGTAGAAGACCAAATTCTTTACATTTACATTATGTAATAAATTTCACCAATTAGTGTTTAATTATCAACTTATATTCGAATTTTTTAATTTGTCTTACATATATATATATATATATATATATATGTGTGTGTGTGTGTGTGTGTGTACTACTACTAATAATATGTATATATATATATATGTTTGTATGTGTGTGCATTAGGATATATTTATGTTTATGTTTGTATGTGTGTATATGTTTGTATGTGTGTATATGTTTGTATGTATGTATGTATATGTTTTTATGTATGTATATGTTTGTATATACCTTTCTCAATAAAGTTTGTATGTATGTATATGTATGTATGTATGTATACTTTTGTATGTGTGTATATGTTTTTATGTATATATGTCTGTATGTGTGTATATGTATGTATGTATGTGTATGTTTGTTTGTATGTGTGTATATTTTGTATATATGTATATGTTTGTATGTCTGTATATGTTTGTCTGTATATGTAGTTTTTTACAAAAACTACCAGGGCCAACCGAACTGTTTGTATATATATGTTTGTATGTGCGTATATGTGTATGTATATGTTTGTCTTTCCCAATAAAGTTTGTATGTATGTGTATGTTTGTATGTATGTATATGTTTGTATGAATGTTGTTACAAATTCCAGTAG